GTGGGTTATATTGGGCAACCCTATTTAGAGATGCATACTTGTTTTGTAAAAATTGTGAAAGATGTCAACAAACAGTGCATTATCTCGCAGGAATGAAATGCCCCAAACCCCTATTCTTGTCTACAAAATCTTTGATGTTTGGGGTATTGATTTCATAGGACCATTTCCTCCCTCTTGTGGTTTTGTTTATATACTTTTGGCAGTTGACTTTGTCTCAAAATGGGTGGAAGCAAAGGCCACCAGGACTGATGATTCTAAGTGTGTTGTAGGGTTTATCAAATCTAACATTTTTAGTAGGTTTGTTATTCCTCGAGCCATCATAAGTGATCAAGTGACCCACTTTTGCAATAGAATCATTGAAGTCTTGCTGAGGAAGTATGGGGTGCATCACTGAATCGCCACTACTTATCACCCCTAGACAAACGGACAAACTTAAATTTCTAATAGAGAGGTCAAGTCCATTTTAGAGAAGACGGCGAATCCGGGAAGAATGGATTGGAGCCTACATATAGATGATGCACTCTGAGCATATCGAACTACATACAAAACACCAATAGGGATGTCCCCTTACAGGTTGATTTTTGGCAAATCTTGCCACTTGCCGGTCGAAATTGAACATAGAGCCTATTGGGCAATCAAACGCTGCAATATGAACATGGAAGAAGCTGGCAAGGCAAGGAAGCTACAATTGCAAGAGCTGGAAGAGTTGCGGTTAGAAGCATATGAGAATTCGAAAATCTACAAAGGGAAGACTAAATTGTTCCATGATAATTTACTTTTAAGAAAACAATTTATAATTGGACAAAAGGTTTTATTGTACAATTCTCGACTCCAACTCATGCCAGGTAAGTTGCGTTCTAGGTGGATCGGTCCATTTGTTGTTACTAATGTGTTTCCTTATGGTGCAGTAGAGATCAAAAGTCTCAATATAGGTAAGGTTTTCAAGGTGAATGGGCATCGGTTGAAGTTGATCCATGAGGATGCAAATGTCTCCTTTACGGTAGACATCTCGTTAGACCTTCCTCGTTATTCATCGAGTTAAAGAAGCAAAGGAGGACGTCGAGCATAACGACGTTAAACAATTATGCTTGTGGGAGGCAACCCATTGTGTTTAGTTAATTTTGTTATTTTGTTTCGATTTCTGTGTTTTGCAGCTGATTCTATATCTGAAGGAACCTAACAAGGCGTATAGGGAAGTTCCCTCAAATCCTTCTACTATATGCATAACCACATACATTGGGGACAATGTATACCTTAAGTGTGGGGGGATTAGGGAAATCTGGTGGAATTTGGGATAACCCTAGCATGCTTCGATCATCACTTCTTGACCTTGCCTTTTGAAATTTCTGCTCCCTAGAGACTTATCCTTGAATGATTTCGACTTATCAGGAATCATGTGCTTAGGCTGAATAGATAGAATAGGATGCAAGCATGACTAAGTGAATTTTTTTTGGCTGCATATGGTACCTCGTTATTTTAATCAATCAATAGGGAAGATGCATATAAAGTTATCCACATGAGGATTTGATTAATTTTCACATAAATATCTGTCAAACAAGGTTTGATTATTCTAGAACTTGTTGTGTTAGGCATATTGAGACCACGATCAATGAGTTCATGGATCAGATAGTGAGACCCGTTGTGCAAAAAATAAAAAAATAAAATAATAATAATAATAATAATAATAATAATAATAATAATAATAAAATCGTGACTAATGTGAGATGGAGCATAAAATGCACTCACATCTAGAAACGAAAGCAAGGGTGAGATGGAGCATAAAATGCASTCACCCTAGAACCCCAACCCCATTCTCACCTTCAGACCCTTGGAATTCATACTAAGTGGTGGAGATGTGATGCATAGCAAGCTTATGGTAATAACATACCTTGTTTTGACCTATGAAACAAAGAAAGTTAATTGAATCTGGCTGCATTGGATTGTTAAAACGATGGGTGCATGTTCAGTCCAAGAATATTCAGCCGGTAGAAGGCTTGTTTCCTTTGTTGTCGATTTAACTTGGGACCATGAGGAATGGTGATTTGAGATCACTCTTGGACAAGTAAAATGGGAGAAAGAAATGAAAATGGGAAGATTACCAAGTCCGAACYGATGCATGCAATGGATCAGGCCTTATGTTGAGAGAAAGAGAGATTAAAAATCAGTAGGTAGTTTCTTTTGTTTTGCTTGAGTTTTGCCTTGCCCGAGGACGGGTAAAGTTTAAGTGTGGGAGGATTTGATGAGACTAAAAAGTACCCTATTTTTATCCCCAAATATTCACTCTTTTCCATTAATTTATCACTTCATTGGACTCATTACTCTTGTATTTCGATTCAGGGCAAACAAGAAGGCAATTGGAAGAAAACAAGGCAATTCGGATGATTTTGCATAGTTTCGGCACCATTCAGTAATCTGGGAATAACTCTCAATTCTGAACTCCGACTTGGCAAATTCAAGAAGCATCAGAAAGAGGAAAGAAAATCCCACAACTTTTATGTTTTAGGTTTTGACAAATTCTGTCCGCATCGAATACGAAACCAGGCCCAAAGTCAGAGCAAGTTCGTAGTCAAGCCCATTTCACAGCTGAAGCCCAATTTGCAAAAGAGCCTTATAACAACCCAAGATATTAAAGCAGCCCAACTCCAATTCAAGAGCCTAGAGTCCCAATTGCAAATGCAACCTCAAGGAAGAGAGTCTTATTAGATTTAAATTTTGAATGTAATTCTATAAAGATAAGTAGATTGGATTAGATCACTAGATAAGAGATAGGATAGGATTTGTTCAAAACAGATCGAGACTTGAAGTTAATCTCCTAGAAGGAGTTGGAGAGAGACCTCCTCCTAAAGCTATATAAAGGGGGGAGTGTTAGACAGTTTTGTACCCTTAGTTTCAATCAGAATGATGTACTTTATGAGCTTATTGTAAATGAATAAAAGTACATATTTGATTCATGTTCCCTTGGTAGGTTTCTGTGTAATACCCTTAAACTGGACACTTAATGAGACTCGTGTTAGTTTAGAATGTTCACAGCCAGTGGGTCGGTCTAGGGAGA